GAGACAGCAGCGGCAATTGGGGCTTCTGGGCACTCATGGCAGAGCCCCCTCTGTGCAGCATGGGACAGTGGGAGGCAGCAGGGATCACCTCCCCCCGCCAGCAACCGTGTGGCAGCTGCCCCATGGTGCAAGGTGCACCTGGGGCTGCTGGGGCTGAGTGGTGCTGGGCTCCGGCTGATGCGTGGAGCTGCCCCAGCTCCCAGAGAGCACACAGAACCCTGCTGAGCCGCAATGCATCTGCGCCATGGGGCAGCTGCTGCATGGGTGCCAAGTGGGGGGGCAATCCCCGCTGCTTCCCACTGCCCCGTGCTGCACAGGGGGCCTCTAACATGAGCCCTCAGAGGCCTTGGTCACTGGTGCTGCATCCAGTGAGTGCAGGGCTTTTCTTTCTTTTTTTTAAGTGCTGAGAGGCTAGGGGGATGGGGCTGGGCAGGGAAGCCATGGGGGCTTCTCCTGTGGCTCCTCCAGCTGTGCCTGCCTCTGTCCTGGTGGGGGAAGCCACGGGGGCTATGCCCTGGTGGCACTTGCCCAGCCAGCACTGCGGGAGGGGTGGCGGCTGATGCAGGCGTGGCAGTGCTGGGAGTGGGGGCTCTGCCCTGCCACTGCTTGCCAGCCAGTGCAGAGGGTGAAGGATGCAGGTGCAGCAGCACTGGATATGGGGGCAATGCCCTGTTGCCACTTGCCCCCTTTCCCTGGAGCGCATGCACACAACCCGCCCCCCTTCCATCCTGGCTGGGCAGGCGGCAGCAGGGCAGTGCCCCCGCTCCCAGTGCTGCAGCGCCTGCATCCTGCACCCCCTCCCCGAGTAACGCACTCCCTGCCCCAGCTGGGCAGCTTGTCCCAGCCTCAATCCCTCCCTTCTCCATGCTCCTTCCTTCTCCCCTCCCCCAACACCAACGGACTTACCATCTGGAGGCAGCTGTGTCACCTGCTTGTTTAGTCTATGGCCAAATCTCCAAAGTGGCCAAATCTTTTCCGAAGTTTTTCCGAATTGATTTGGATGCTTCAAATCTGTTCAGAGTGTTTAACTGGTCTCCCAATTTGATTCAGATTTGGAGATTCGGTCCCCAAATTGGGCTGAATCTCCTCCAAATCGAATCAGCTACTGAAGCTTCACACAGCCCTACTATACACGTGCTCCAGCATTTTGCTTAGAGCAGCTCTCAGGAGATTGCAGGGAGCAATTGGTACTCTGACTGGAGCTTTCAAAAAGGAGAAAATACAACCTAAACAATTCTTTCTTGTATATACTATTTCTGGTACAGTATCAGATGCTTGTATATGAAAGCTTTTTTTTTATATGGAAATGATGAATTTGGGGCATAATAGGCACTTTTATATGATCTCCAGGGGTGGGGGAGGGACACTTTAATTAGAGAACTGCTCTAACTAAAGCGCTGCTGCATCTTATGTGTCAGCGTGCTCCCACTTCAAAATGGTAGCAGGGCCACTTGAACTAAAGCTTGTTTGACAAACTTTAGTTCAAGAGTCTCCACCACCATTTTGAAGCATGGGGATGCCGATACACGAGACACAGGAGGCTGCTGGAGCATGGTAATTATCACCCTCCAGTACATTCAATTAATCTGTAATTACAGACATTGTAATTACAGCACGTTGGAGCAGCCTCCTAGCACGTCTTCAGGCACTGAGTTTTGGATTATGTATGTTTTATCATGTACAAGTATTGTGTTCAATAGTTTTTCATTGAAGCCCATGAAAAAGAGGTTTGGTTTTCTTTCTTTTCTTTTTTTTTTAATTAAGTTACCTCTATCTTTCAAATATTCAGGAATATTTCAAAACTTATTATCACAGTATGTAGGTTAGCATATACAACAGCACAAGATGAAGACCTGACATTTTAAATCAGAGATCTAAAGTTAATACTGAGTTTAGAATCTCCCAAATGCTTGCTAATTCTCCATTCCGTAATCACACCACCATCTCATAACTTGTGATTTAAGAAATGGATGCATAACATTTTATTTTGTTCAGTACAATTTTTCCTACCTAAACTTCTTTGCTACAGTGGCCTGATGACCAGGAATATTTTGGAGAGTTTTTATTGCTCCCAGAAGTAAGGAAATCTATCCATGTGGCTAATCTTACTTTCCATGATGGGTCTACGGTTGAGAAGAATTTGCTTGAAGATGTGATGAACACAATAAAGTCATGGTTAGCTATATTAATGGATAATTATAAGGTAAGAAGATTTCAACTGGCTTCTCTAGGCACCTTGCTTTAGTGCAAAATTAAGCTGTGCTCTTATTTAAATGTTGTGTCTAACTCAACTAATATCTACACAGAAACCTCTGACCCAAATGTTGTGGTGTTTTCAACCCACATTTTCCAGCTATTGAAAGCTACTCTGAATGCTGCACTGGCTGCCAGCAGCGTCCACTAAGGATCACTATAGAATGGGATGGTAGATACACTTCCTATGGTGGAAGCAAGCATATATGGTCACTGAAAAGCAAAGGCAATACATGGCATCTCAGGCTCTGAGCCAAAATTCTTAACTGAAATTATGTCATTGGATTTCCCTGATTCTTTTTAAGTGCAGATTTCTTACAATGAAAACACTATACCCTTTATGCTACTCGGGTGCTGGGAGGTAGGGAGCTCTCGTTAAGACTAAAATGACAAAGACATGGATTCAGTAACAATTTTTTTAAATTGAATTGAGCATTCTTCAGATAGCTCTTAGAGTTGGCCATCCCTTTTTTTTTTTTTACAGCTTGTCAGTAGCATTGAGTGCCCTGCAGAGTCTCTGACTTATTTTAATTGAACACAAGAAACTAATTTTAATTTTTTTAAATATAATTAGTTTGACTTCCTCTAGTGGGAGTCTTGTAATTGATACCATGAATAAATTATGGAAAGCAATTTTAAGGCTTTTAATTACAAAGCTGCTTAGCTTCAGAACTTTTATGCTGACAAGCAAAATGGTTTTGTACTGTACCATTAAATATAAACTATGTCCAAAAATATACCCAAGCCCCAAGATCTAAGAAGAAAGGACCGGGGTATGCTGGTACATGGAAATAGTGCAAAAATAATGACCAAACATTTTCAAGGGAAGTATTATTTGGCTTAAGGATGTAGAAATGCAAATACTTGGTGAATTAACTGAAACTAGTTCAGTGTCCAATGGCCAGTGCCAGATGCTTTAGAGAAAGATGAAAGAACAGCCACAAAATTGTGTAATACTTTTGAAATTTTGTAAAGCTCTTGTTTCAGTGAGGTTGTGTGTGGTTCAGGCACTATGTGAAGTATTTTTCTGTTACTCTTAAGTTTGTTGCCTCTGCCATTTGATAGTGTTGGTTATCCCCTTCATTCCTGGTTTATGAGAAGGGACAATTGCTCTCTCTATACGAGTTACAATTTTATGGAACTTGGTCCTACCTTTTCTGTCTCTCATCTGAAAGTCTTTTGTGCTTGATATATACTTTGCTTGTGTCTAGCTCTAGTTTTTCTGTCTCTTAAGAATTTAACACAGTATTTCAGTTGCATAATTGATAATATAATGTTTAAAATATCTTCTTATTCTATACACATCCTAACACATTTTATATGTTTGATAATTGCTGTACATATAGAAAATATTTTCACTGACCCTATCCATGACAACCAAAGAATGTGAACATAGAGGTATGATTAATTTAAGATCTAGCACAAAATGCTTTATTTCCCTTTTTGTCAAAACAGAATCTCATTTGTTGCCATGTTGTATGTATTTTCTATGATCTTCCTCTATTTTTCTCTAGTGTTGACTAAAAATTAATTTTTTTTTTTAAGCAGATATTGCCACCTCATTCTTCATCTCCCTTCCAAATAATTAATCAGTGCATTCAGCAATTGTTAGTTTGTCTCTGGGGCATTTCTGTATGAATTTTTTCAAAGTGAACATTCATTATTCATCCTTGTTCTTTTATTTGGCCTCAGCCTGTTTTAATACATTCTGGGTGCATCTACATGTGCAATTAATGCGACACAATAAACTGCAGTGCATACTGCCCTGGAGTTTATTGCCCCTGAGTGCTGCATTTATACATGCACCTGGGACCACAAGACATTAAGTCAGGTCAGAGTAGCCATGGCTGGCAGGGGGCTTGCAGGGGTCAGCATGCCAGTCAAGGGTTGCTTTGACCCAGCTGAACATGGTGCAGAAGGGCTGGCTGGGGCACAAGAGTGCTCTAGTTCAGGGTTAGCTGGCAGAAAGCCCCTGCACTGGAACACTCTCATGCCCTAGTTAGCACCATCAGCATCTACATGTGTGTTGCTGGACACTAAAGAACACTGCCATAGAATAGTACTTGTGTACTAACCTATGGCAGAGTTAATTATTTTACTATGGCCTAATAGGGCTGCACATATACATACTGAGACTTGACTGTGGAGCTAATTAGTCAACTCCACAGTAAACATCTTGTGTAGATGCACCCTTTCATCCTACAGCTGAATGGTATCTTGTGACTAATATTTGTCAGAATTTTTATGAAAGTCTTAATAAACTATATTGGCCATTTGTCCATTATCAATTATTTGTTGGAGAAGCAGATGTCTTTGAAAGAGGCTTTATTGGCTTGCACTTTTCACTTCATGATCATCTGAGTTGTCTTAGATTTGTTTTTTCAACAATTTCACCCAGAACTGAAGAAAGGCTTTCTTGGAACCTTTTAAGTAAATATTTGCTGATTTTTTTTCCATGAGATTTCTTTTGTTTTTTGGCTAGCAACTCAATCATTAAACTCCTAAGTTCCTTCAGAAACTCTTATCAGCACATGCTTTTATTATTGGTTACTGCCATTTAATCAGTTTGTTCCAGAAACTCCACTTTTGACAGCACCTTCTTTGATGGTACCTCACTTTTATTATCTCCTCAACATTCTCTATAGTGATGATGGAAGCAACAAAACAAAAGAATTACTTTCTCTGGTGTCCTTATTCTCAACTGATCACTTATTTTCTTTGGAGGGTCAGTGAACCAAGTGATTTTTCTTGCAGGATTCCCATTGGATATACTTGTATTTCTATATATTTGGTACTCGGATTTCCATGTTACTTTTCATATCTATCTTATAGTTTGTTGCTTTCAGGTGGGTCGAATCTTTGTTTTCTGAAGGATATTTATATGTCTCAACAAATCTGCTACCTCATCATTAAACTAAACTGAATTTTCCTGTTTCCATTTTTACTATGCACTTCCATTCTGCAATTTTATGAAAATTTTATGTCTTGTGAACCCAGCATTCATTCCTGCCTGTGGCAGGGGGTCAGGGTAGATGATCTGTTCAGGTCCCTCCTGACCCTAGCCACTATGAAACTATGAAAGTTGTATCTATGACTATCTAGATAACGGTGAGTTGAGATTTGCACTTAAGGTATGGATTCAAACACTTTTATATAAGAAGGACATAACAACCTCTTTGAATGATAGAAGCACATTTTAAAATACAAATTTTCAGAAAATGTGCTAATTAATTTGAGATGAAACAAATCTTTGAATACATTGAGTACTGTACATAAGAGGTTTTGCCTGTTTGTTTGCCCAAATAACAATGCAAGCCCTGCAAACTTCTGACTAATAAATACTGAACTTTCATCTGTTGGCTACATATAAGTAATTGGAATGGTCAATTTTACCATAACTTATCAAAACTAAAAGTGTTTCCTTCAACAGGTAAAGGGGGGATTGTCCTTCTTAAATATTTCTTGATGCAGAACAGAGCATAACCCACTGCATAAGATCTGTTCAACAAAAGGAGCAAGAGTGAGGGAAA